CACGAGGACAAGGAGTTGTATGTGATTGTGATACTATTAATGGCAATATGAATGAGGACAAGGAGTTGTATATCATTGTTTTGCTATTAATGGCAATATTAATGAGGACAAGGAGTTGTATATGAGTGTGATACTAAATATGGCAATAATAATCAGGCAAGATGTATGTGATTGTGATAATATTAATGGCAATATCATAAGAACTAGGATTTGTATATTACTGATACTGTTAATGACACAATAGGATTGATGACAATATCATATTAGTAATAATAAAGATAAAGAGAAAAACTGGTGAATAGTAATAATGACACATATATGATTATGATATTGTTATTGATAGACATTTTAGTAATGATAATTAGTAATAATGAGGACAAAGGAATGGTGACAATCAGTAACAGTGAGGACAAGGAGAAAAAGTGGTGATTAGTAATAATGAGAACAAAGAGGAACACATTTGCAAAAATGAAGACAAAGGAAAGGTGGTGATTAGTACTCATGAGGACAAGGAGAAATGTTGATTAGTAACAATGAGGACAGAGGAATGGTGGTTGTTAGCAACAATGAGGACAAATGAATTATTGTAATTAGTAACAATGAGGACAGGAATGGTGGTTGTTAGTAACAATGAGGTCAAAGAAGATTGGTGGTGATTAGTAATAATGAGGACAAATGAATTATTGTAATTAGTAACAATGAGGACAGAGGAATGGTGGTTGTTAGCAACAATGAGGACAGGAATGGTGGTTGTTAGCAACAATGAGGACAGAGGAATAGTGATAATTAGTAATAATGAAGACGATAAGAAATGGTGTTGATTAGTTACAATGAACATTATTTCTATTTTTCAGACTAAATCAATATTCCAAGTTGGTTTTTTCACCAACAAGATGTTTCTGTTTGCAGTGGGTGGGTCTATTATAGGACAATTGCTGGTTATTTATTTTCCTCCTCTCCAGGCTGTCTTTCAAACTGAGGCTCTGCATGTCTCAGGTAAGTCAAACTTTTATATACTGGAGTTTGTCCACTTCTTTTATTGCTTTTGTATTGTTTAATTATTTTGAATGGTTATATTCTGTTTTATGCCTAATATGTTGTTCACAATTTATCTCTCCAGTGATACAGGTTGATATGTGCAAGAAACAGTTGTTGTTTGTTTATAAGCCACTTTTGTAACTTTATTGTTAACTTCTCTCTGCATTTTTTCAGTAAGTCAGTTTAAAATTTGTGTCAGCTGTCCATCTGTGCAATGTGCTATTGAGTCATTTTATAATTTTTTCATCGCCTATGTAATAGTGCTGAGTCAGTTTTTTAACTTGTGTCAACCATCTTCGAAATCAGCATCTGTACTGTATGGTTGTAAGCGAGAGTGTGGCAAACAATATCAGCATGTCCTTGAGAGTTTCCCGCTGCAGACATCCCCATCTAGCATTATACACTGCTCTATGATTCATATATACATTCTTTGACATGAATCATACAAATTGAGGTTAAAAAATAATTTATACTGTGGATCACACATAAAGGATGTCTACAAAACATATTGGAATACACACAGTAGACCTAAAGCAGCTGTTCAACACAGACTATCATAGCAAAAATACTATCCTTTACACCCCCTCCCTCCTTGTCTGCAGTTGTCTGCATCTGAACAAAATAAACATCCCACCATCTTTGCAGACATCCTTATTGATGATCTCTTAGACGAAGTTGGGGCACAAGTCTCTGCTCTTAAAAAAAATAACAGAAAAGAGTTAAGCCAACAGATATTTTATTTCCTTGAATACAAAGTGAAAATGAAAAAAAAAAGATCTTTCAGTATTGTGAATTAAATCCAAAAATAATTCAAGAATTAAATACACAAGCCCTAGTAATAAAAAAGTTTTGAATAGAACTCAGTTCAAGTCCCAAAGAGATCCAAAATTGAAGGTGATAATGTGTCAGTTACAGCCTACAAAGTACTGATGTAAAAGTAAAAACTGGTTTATTCTGGTATAACATTACCCACCTAGTAGATGGAAAAGGGAGTTAACGTGTAATTGTTGCTTCTCTTTATGATGTGTGTGTGTATGTGTGTGTGTGTAGGTGTCTTTTTACCAAAAGACACTTTTTATTTTTAGGGATTCAAAGAAAGTTGTATTGTGATCATTTCAGTATTTTCAGAGAAACAGAGATTTATTGCTAATTATTATTAATCATTATTATTAATTATTAATTAATCATTGCTTTCATGGAATAAAGTTTAAAGGCTATGAAAGTTTGTTGCCAGAAAACAGTTCTGGATGCAAATCTGCTAAATTTATATACCCATACATTTTTTATTTTACAGTAATTTGTTATCTGTAAGAAGCCTTTTTAATGTCTAATGTTTTTAAAATTTCTGTTCAATTAAAACTTTGTCCACATTTTCTGTATAAATTAAACACATCTCTGTCTACATTTATGTATCAATAAAACTTGTCTCTGTTTTCATTTCTGTATAACTTAAACTTTTCTTGCTACAATTCTGTGCAAATAAAACTTGTCTGTGTCTACATTTCTGTACACATAAAACTCATCACTGTCATTTCTGTGTAAATAAAATATGTCTGTCTACATTTCTGTATAGTTAAAACTTGTCTTGTTTACATTTTTCAGATTTTGTCTTCTTGATTGGATTAACATCTTCAGTATTTCTTGTGTCTGAAGTACGGAAGTTCATCCAGCGTGTCTTAGAACAAAGGCAGAAGCTAAAGTCAGAATATTCATACCTCCCTGTGTGACAACTCTTGGAGTTAGATATCTCTGCCAGTAACACCTTCATTTCTGTGTTTTATTTTTATTTAAATATTTACATGTAGAATGAAAGAAAATTGTTTGTAACCACTACAAGTTGTACAGAATAATTCAAATTTGATTTTTATATTATTTCTAAAATATAAAACCTCACAAGAGTTTTGCATTAGATATGAAACTGAAGATGCTTCGTCTGAGTAGAGTAGTATTAGAGAATTTTATAAATTGTTGACCAAAAGACATGGGTATGAGATTCTTCCAATATTTGCAAATATTTTGAATTTTTTGATGTAAATCAGTTTTGCAGAATGCTATGTGATATATTTTCAGACTACATAAACACGGTTATGTGAAGATTTAAGGCAGATAAATAAAGGCTATTATGCTTTGATACATTTTCCCTTTTCACAGTAATATATAAAACAGCTGAAATAATTTCTGTGCTCTGTTTTTGTGAGCAAAACTTAGTTTTTTCTCATATGTCTGCCATAAGATAGAATGTATTATTTTATGATATTGATCTGTCTCATTGTTAAGTTTCATTACCAAATGAGTTACAGCATACAATATTATGATATCCGTTTCATTGTTAAGTTCCATTACCAAATGATTTACAGTGTACCATATAGTGATATCCATCTGTCTTGAAGTTACACAATGACTTGAGTGCAATCAACAGTTGCCATACCTAGGAAAAGAAGATTCAGAGTCAAGAGTTCAAAGGTCAGAGCCACAGTGACTGAATCAAAACAAATGGTTTCAGTATAATAAAATTAGTTCTATGTCACTTGCTTGGTCCAAACTTTGTCGATGTCTTATACCGATGTCTTATACCGATGTCTTATACCGTTGTCTTATACCGATGTCTTATACCCCTAGGAGAGAAGATACATACTGATAAAATACAAAGGTCAGTTTGACAAAAAAAAAAATGGTTTCTGAACAGTAACTTTAGTTTATGACATAGACCTGTCCCAAGCTTTGTTAACTTTTCATTTCTCAGCCATCTACCTTTCCCAAAGTTTGTGGATGACTTCATTCTATTCAAGACACTGTCATGTAAGGTTTGGGATTGTATTCAAATTATGATGTGATAGATATGGCATCTTTATCTTTTAATAACTGATCATGGTTTTATAGTCATATAATTCATGACTTAATGTGTTTTGAAACATCCTCTAAAATATGTCCTTGTGCAAATAAAACATAAAACCCAGTTGTTGTTTCATTTTAATTGGAAATTTATTATTACGTTTGTTTAACAAAAATGGGATATAAATTCATTCAAATTTTTTTATATGTAAATATATTTCTGCAAAGATCAATATAATTAAAAACAAATGCTGAAATTGTATCTTGCACACCCAAAAGATGAATGGTAGATGTTGCATCCAAAAGAGTAATGATAGATGTCGGAAGTGCCTTTAAATGTAGACAAGTTCTTCAAAGATGATTTCAAATTAAATCTATAAAAATTGTGAAACTTTCATAAGTTTGTTGCGAACCTTCAACAGGTATGCATTTAGTTTTTTACGTTTGATTATGACTGAACATTGGTAATTTAGCATACAGGGTATACACCTTTATGTATCATGAACTCCATATAATTTGGCTGTATTTAACATTTGTTATTCAAATATGACATGAAAATAGAAAATAAATTACTTAAATTCAAACTTTATTATGTACATTGGTTAAATGACATTATTTTGTGTTTTTAATGACACTGTATCAATTAAGAGAATATTAAATAATTTCTGTTTTAACAAACCCCAAATTTAAACAAATAAAGTACATTGCATTTTATTTTCAGAAGTATCTATCATATTGGAAAATACACTGTTATGCATCCATTACTCATATTTATTTTTGCTCAATGTCTGATTATTTAGGTCTTTATTATTGCACCTAATCCAATTATGAAAATTTTCATTATTGATCCACATCCAAATCTTTATAGTCTTTTGTCATCTTGAAATACAAGGATATGATTTTGATTTTTAATGTAGCTTTAACAATTTTTCAGTCATATCGTTATGATGTCTGCAATGTGGCAGTTGAGAGTGATGTCTAGCACTGGGGCATCATGCCACAGACATGTAGCATGATGTCCCACCCAGTTACATTATCCTGACACCAGGCCGACCAATCCTAACGCTAACCTCTTAATGCTGAGTGCCAAGCGAGGAAGCTGTTAGTACCATTTTTGTAAGTCTTTGGTATGACTCGACTGGGGATTGAACCCACCACCTCCCGCATCTGGGGCGGACACTCTAACCACCTGGCCACCTAAGTGGTATGAAATACTAGGACTCCTAGAATGTAAATGTACAGGTATAAAAAATTACATTAGCGATAAAATATTTCAGCTGTTTGATTCCAAGAATCTCAATCTCACATTGAGATGATGAGTCCTACTTTTCCATAGCATGTGTGAGTGGAGAAGAAAAACACACAAAGTGATGTCAGTTATTTTTATAAGAAGTACACTAAGTTGCAATATACATGTTCAAGTGGAGATGAAAAATACAAACAATTTTTAAATCTGTTACCTTTATAATTAGTACAGTTGTTCCTTTATTTTTTTATTATTTTCATTCAATTTTTGACAAAGATGTAATAAGTCTCACCTACATTTAACTTTTTTGAGCAATTTTTTTTGTAATCAAGAGCTTTTAAAGCAATTATTGTCATGTAGTTTTAGGACAGTTAACTCCATGTAGTTTATGGGCAGTTAACTCTTTGTAGCTACCTACTTCAACCTTAAAATTTGACAGCAATTATATGTTGTATTATATGCTGTATGCATTTGATTAAAAATCCTAATGTTTGTTTTAAAATCTTAAATAAGCCGCTGCAGCATTAAAGTTTCATTGACTTTTTAGGGCTTTTTATGAATTCTTAATTATTGCTGTATGAACAGTATTATTAAGTTGCTTGTATAATCAAGTACATCGGATTTATCATACAAGGATTATGTAAAATCTTGTGACAAATAGGACAAGATACAGTAGCCAGGATGTTGTGGAATGGTCTTTAATTTATTACAAATATTTGTAATGCAGTCAATTTTGATGTAATAGCTTCAGTGCCAACATAAACTTTTATCCAGTCTTACCAATATTGATATATTTGTTGTGCTTATGAGGATATGTACCAGAGTTATTTAAAAAATACTGAATAATAATGAGTTGCACAACAAAATTCTTTATTAGCAAACATTATGTCCTCAAAGTATCCCAACACCTCTGTTCACTATCTTGGCCGGATTATCCAGTTATTAAATGCTGTTTTTTATTCTCATTTTGATATGTTGTTCCTGCACTTCCAACAGCATGACAACTTTTACATGATCTTTGATGGCAGGATTCAGCTAATAATCACTGGGCGCTAAATCAGGTTGTATGGAGCATTTGTAGAATTTTTGGTTACAGTGCTCCTTCAGGAAGTCTGTTATGATTTATGCACCAATTTGTTGTCATGGAGTGAATGGATACATTATGTACAATGTTACCATTGATGGGTACCTCAGGTCCGTTTTAAAGAAGTGGATGGATACCACAGGTATATGTTGTAATTTAGTGGATGGATACATGTGAGTGGATACTGCATGTATGTGTTGTAATTTAGTGGATGGATACCACATGTGGGTGGATACTGCATATATGTGTTGTAATAGAGTGGATGGATACCACATGTATGTGTTGTAATTTAGTGGATGGATACCACATGTGGGTGGATACTGCATGTATGCGTTGTAATGGAGTGGATGGATACCACATGTATGTGGGTGGATACTGCATGTATGTATTGTCATGGAATGGATGGATATTGCATGTATGTGGGTTGATGCCACATGTATGTATTGTCATGGAGTGGATGGATACTTCATGTATGTTGGTGGATACCGCATGTATGTATTGTCATGGAATGGATGGATATTACATGTATGTGGGTGGATACTGCATGTATGTATGGTCATGGAATGGATGGATATTGCATGTATGTGGGTTGATGCCACATGTATGTATTGTAATGGAGTAGATGGATACCTATTGTACTTATGTATAAACATGTATATTTGATAGTGTTGCACAGCTTTTGGCAACATAAAACAATGTCCAGTGACACTACCCAAGTCAGACACAGGTTAAAAAAATGTTGAGTGACACTACCCAAGTCAAGCGCAGGTAAAAAAAAAGTCCATTGACACTACTCAAGTCAGACAAAGGTAAACAAAAGTCCATTGACACTACCCAAGTCAGGCTCAGTTAAAAAAAAGTCCAGTGACACTACTTAAGTTAGGAACAGGTAAAAAAAAAAGTCCAGTGACACTACCCAAGTCAGGTACCTGATCAACCAGACCTTTTGCTTGGAAAAATAAGACACATAAAATTCTTGTCAAGTGATTTGTGATTTTTGCTCATTTTCTCGAAATCAGGGCTATTTCCAGAAAAAAGTGTAGGATATGTCCAAGTTACATCTGTAAACATTAAAAAGATGTAACCACTAGAACAAGTGTAGGATGTGACCAAATTTTTACATCAGTCAAATTTATCAAAGTCAAGCTTGGTATCAGTTGGAATGTACCGTATGAGTGCCCTGATTTTACAGTATGTTTTTTGCTTAGTATTTTAATTGTTCTCCTTCATGGTCATATTCCTGTTACATCACATGCATGTATCTGAAGGCATCGGGCAGGTCATTTCATAGAATAGTATTTTGTCTGTCGATTGGCATTAAAATTTAAATTTTAAATTTTTAAATTTTTCCCTTTTCAGATACACCTTGTACTTACAAGACACCTTAAAAATGTGTGTACATGGGTTGTAGTACAAAGCAGCCATTGTGTGGCACTCAATGTTTCATTGGTCCCAATTCTTAATGTGTTGTACAAGTTATGAATAATAACAGCACTCAACACAAGTGCATAATCATTGTTGTATAATAATATATACTATTTAGTTGTGTGCATTAGAATGACACATTTTTATACCAGGGTTTGGGTTGTTAACCAGTTGATCTAAAAATCATATTGATTCTGGTATTTGTAAATTTGTACTCCCCAATATATCAAGCTTGACAAAAGTACAGTACATTGAGTACATTAAGTACAATGAATCTGGTAGTGTGTACATTGAGTACAATGAATATGGTACATAGAGTAGATTAAGTATAACGAACACAGTACATTGAGTATATAAAGAAGAATGGATATGGTACAATGTGTACATTGGGCACAATGAATATGGTACATTGAGTACATGAAGTACAATAAAAACAGTACATAAAGTACAATGAATAGAGTACATTGAATACATCAAGTACAATGCAGCACATTGTACATCAACTACAATGAATATGGTGCAGTTTGTAAATTGAGTACAATGTATACATTAAAAACATCAAGTACAATGAATACAGTACATTGAGTACAATGACTGATACTGTGTGTACAATGAATACAGTACATTGAATAAATCAAGTACAATGAATATAGTACATAAGTACTGGTACTTTGAGTGCATTAAGTACATCAGGTACAATATGGTACAATGTATACATCACTACATCAAGTACAATGAATAAAGTAAATTGAGTACATCAAGCACAATGAATACAGTTCATTTTTTTAATACAAATTGTGTATGTTACTATGAAATCAGACTAAATATTAATTTACTTCTGTCTTAAGTTCTGTATGATTTAAAGCATGTTGAGGAGAGCAATGTCCACAGTACGGTTTCCCACAAAATAGGTTTGTGTACATGTGCTTCTATGTTTGTGTAAATATATGTGCTTCTTTCTGTTTTTATATGGTTGTATACAAGTATGTGCTTTTGTCTCTGTATATGTGCTTTTTCTGGATGTTTTTTTTCCATATCTTTGTCTTTATATGGTTAGTGTACATGTGCTTTCTGTAAGTGCAATTACTTGTATCTACATGTTTGTGTAATTGCATGTGCTTCTGTCTGGCAATCTGTACATGTATTTTTACATAATTCTGTGTGTAAATTTCAATCAATTATGATAAGTTGTTGTGACATTCCAGTGGTGAAACATGTACATATGAATAGAGCTTCTATTCACCTATTTATAAAAGTTTTGAAAATTTTCAAATTAAAGTTTTATAATCATTAATATAGCATTCAGGTTTTTTTTCCCCACAGATTTTACGTTCTGATGTTACTGAAGAGTCCTCTGCATCAGCACAAATTTAAATCTGGTTTATCTTAATTGTCTTGGTTCTTTCTACTTTTCTGCATGTTTGTCTCAGTCATTCCACGTGTCTGCATTTTTGTCTCAGTCCTTTCCATTTGTCTGTATGTTTGTCTCAGTTGTTTCCACTTTTCTGCAGGTATGTTTTAAGAGATGCCAAGAGAGGATCAGACCATAAGTTGCAGGTCAACCTTTAAGGCCTAGTCGACATATTGGTATCAATGAATATCAGTACCTTGCCAAATGCATGACCTATCCTACACAGTACCATGCTTTAGGATGGTACTGTATAGAGGAGTTCATGCATTTGGCAAGGTACTGACATGATATTCATTGATACCAATAAGTCAACTTATGCTCCAGTATCAGTGCCATGCTAAATGCATGATCTCTCCTGTTAAGTGCCATGTTAAATGCATGAACTCTTCTATACAGTACCCTACTAAATGCATAAACTCACACATAGAGTACCATGCTAAATGCACAAAATCCCATGTACCTATTCATCCTCTTTAGTCTGACCTATCATGTTACAGTGTTTTTCACCCATTAACATGTGCTTATATGATTTTGAACAGTTAGAGACTTTAATAAAACTTTACCCAAGTATATATTTAGACTAGAGGGTGTGGTTGTGTACCATAGCCACACCCAATTCCTCGATCTGAAGGTGATGTAAAGAAAAATATGATTCTCACTATATCCTTGTTCTGAATATAACTAGAAAAACTGAAGATATTTTAAGTAAATATAAGTCAATTTATCTATCATGCAGAGTATTGCATAACATTGTAATGCCTCCTGCTTTGTGGTGAAGATGCAGCAAGGAAAAATATATGCATGTAAAAAAAAAGTAACATTTTTAAACCAGTTTAATTATAGATTCATCATTTACTTCTGATCAGGGAGTCTGAAATGTGTTCTATTGGTGGTCACGTGAGCATAATTCCACCAGTAGAAGGGAGTCTGATCAGTGTTAGAAGGTTAGACAATGTTTTATATTTTATCACCTCTGTCCTCTTTATGTTTGCCTCAGTAATATATATATATATATATATATATATATATATATATATA